CTCGCATATCATTACTCCCTCCAGTTAAATTAGAACGTTTTGATGGAGATTTTTCGAAATTCACTCAGTTCTGTAGGACATTTGAATGGAATGTGGAGAGCAACACTAATGATCCAAGGCGAAGGCTCACACAGCTCTACAACCAGTTGGATGGCCCACCAAAGGACCTTATTGAAGGTTGCCTTCACCTACCACCTGACCATGGATATGACGAAGCGTGGAGGATGCTGAGAGAAGAATATGAAAACTCCAGTGAACTCCTCGAGTCCTTCATCTCAAAATTATTTGCATGGAAAGACATTGAAGTTGGAGATGCAGAAGGTCTAAAGAAATACGGCTCCTACCTATTTAATGTAGAGATGGCCTTAGGTGATAATATCTGCCGGATGGAGTTGCGTGAGACAATATCTAAAATTGTTGGTAAGCTACCGAGATACTTGAGAACCAAGTGGGCCTCGAGATGTGTAGATCCTGGCACTAAATCTGCAAGTTCATTCTCTGCACTTGTTAAATTTGTTAAAGATCAAGCCAGGGTAGCAGAGGAAATACGTTATATTGAAGCAGGAAGAGGTAAGCCAAGTCACACGACCAATAAACCCATCATCATTCGGAAGCCTGTAAATAGTCTAAATGTCCATGCTCTGGATATGAATGCAATGGATATGACCCCAAGTACCAGCGATAAATGCCACTGTTGTAATGGCCAAGGACATAAGCTTTTTGCATGTTATAAGTTCGGCAGGAAAGATGTTGACGAACGATGGGATATTGTCACACACAACAAGCTATGTTTTCGCTGCTTAAAACCCGGCCATGGCCATCGTTTCTGTAATGACAAGAGCCAGTGCGATCGATGTGGTGCCTACTATCACCACACACTGTTACACCGGCCAATAGCAAAGAGTTTTGCACCATCCCGTAAGTACAAGAGATCTCCAACTGGGAGTGTTGAGGTGTTCAGCAATGAGAACATACCTGACTGTTACGAGAAATTGGGTACACCTAGTTCCTCAACTGGGGGTGGCATAGAAGCCAAGGGAAGTGTGACCCCAAGTGTTAATTCTCCATTAACAGATGCTCTACCCTGTGCTAATATTCTTGATTGTGAGCCTGATGGGAGGATTATGATGAAGATCCTGCCTGTCCGAGTGAATAACAGCGTCTCCACTTACGCCTTCATAGATGGTGGTGCTGCACCAACTCTGGCTGCTCGAAGCTTAATACAACGTTTGGGAATCCAAGGCCTACCAGTGAGGCAAGCAATGAAAACTGAAAATGGAATATTCATGTGCAACGAGCGTGTACCACTTATGTTGAGCAGCATAGGCGGTGGAAATAACATTACCGTAAATGAAGTGTACATTACAGACAAACTCAGCATAACTACTGACAGCATGATGCCCGTGAACTGGACTAAAAAATGGCTTCATCTGAATGATGTGGATCTACAAAGATTGCCTGGCGACAATCAAGAGGTGGAACTTATAATTGGACTCAATAGCATTTTGAACCGTCACATACTCGACCAGAGACATGGGACTGATGACGAACCCTCAGCCTATCTTACCAGATTTGGCTGGGTTGTCTTTGGACCAACTGGCCCCAGGAACCCTTTGACTGCCCCGGTATATCATATTTCCCCAACACAAGATCTTGGCGAGTGCTTACGAGAGCACTTCAATGCTGACTTTTGGGAAAAGGAAGTTCATTCCCAACGTGAAGATTCGCTGGAAGATAAGTTATTTTCCGATAAGATCTCACAGTCCATCCATCAAGAATCGGGTAAATATGTAGTCAAACTCCCCTTCAGGGACAGTAGTCCACTTCCAAACAATCGTGAAATGGCTGTACGTAGAATGAAAAGCCTCAAAAGGAAGCTGGAATCTGACAAGACTTTCAAGGAGACATACATCACTCAAATGGAAAAGAATATAAGTAAACAGTATGCTGAAATAGTACCTCCATCAGGATTAGAACGAAATGATGGTAGAATATGGTACATGCCACATCATGCTGTGCGTCATCCCACTAAGCTGAAGGTACGTGTCGTCTATGACCTTAAAGCTAAATTCAATGGCACTTCCCTAAATGACCATCTTCTTCAAGGGCCAGACCTCACAAATCCTCTATAGGGGTACTCATGCGGTTCAGGCATGGTCACTATGCAGTCACAGCGGACATCGAGGAGATGTTTTATCAGGTCAAGGTTCCCCTAGAGGATCGTGATGTGTTCCGTTTTTTATGGTGGTCAGATGGTGATATCAATAAGCCTGTAAGTGATTACCGAATGAATGTTCATGTTTTTGGTGCTAGATCCTCTCCTAGCTGTGTAAATTATGCCTTAAGGAAGACTGCTGAGGACCACGGTGAGGTTTTTGATGAACAAGCTGTCACTGCCATAATACAAAGTTTTTATGTTGATAATCTCCTGCTGGCCCATGATGACAAAGAGAGACTGATAAAAATCATCAAAGATCTCATTGCTCTCTGTAATGCAGGTGGTTGGCGTCTGAACCAATGGACAGCCAATAACAAGGACGTGCTCAAGAAGATTCCTGAATCGGAGAGGGATGCGTCGGTTGCTTCTCTAGACCTCAGTAAGGATGATCTCCCAGTTGAAAGGACCTTGGGTGTACACTGGTCGATGGCCGAAGATTGCTTCACATTCAAAATCTGCCTTGGCGACAAGCCACTAACACGCCGAGGAGTTTTATCTATCGTAGCATCTATATATGACCCACTTGGCATGGTGGCGCCCTTGACACTGCCAGCAAAAATGATTCTTCAAGACATGTGTCAGATGCAGTTAGGCTGGGATGAAAATATGGGTGATAAGGAAGCTGCTCGTTGGAGAAAATGGTTGGAACAGTTACCAAAATTGTCAAGATTTAAGCTGCCACGAAGCCTAGTGCCCATTTCCTTTGGTTCCGTCATTTCTTATCAGCTCCATCATTTTGCAGATGCAAGTCAGTCTGGTTATGGCACAGCCTCCTACTTGAAGATGGTAAATGCCTCGGAAAGGGTATACTGCACTTTGGTTATGGCACGAGCAAGAGTTGCACCTCTGAAACCGACAACTATTCCAAGACTAGAACTGACGGCTGCCACCGTTGCAGCTCGAATGGACTGTAAATTACGAAAGGAACTGGGGTTGAAATTGGAAGATTCAGTCTTTTGGACAGACAGCACTTCAGTGCTCAAGTACTTGTTCAATCAGAAGGCTCGTTACCACACCTTTGTCGCAAATCGAGTGAACCTAATCCGAGAACTGTCTTCAGCAAGTGCTTGGAGATATGTAGACACAAAGAGTAATCCTGCTGACCTTGCATCTAGAGGTCTTGATGTTGATACTTTTTTAACGTCTGAAATGTGGATTAGAGGACCAAGATTTCTTCATGAACCTGAATCCAGCTGGCCACAAGTTCCAGAAGATGTTAAACATGGATCACTGGAAGATGATGTAGAAGTAAAGGTGTCTGTCATGGTATGTGAGACAGTGACAACAGTAATGTCATTCATTGAGGAGTTTGCCTCTCGTTTCTCGAACTGGCAGAAGTTTGTGCGTTGTCATGCATGGGTCAGACGATTCTTGAGCGAAAGTATGTACCCAAGTTGCCTGACGTTAATTGCCTTAGTAGCAAAGAAATAACAGATGCAGAAACACACATATGGAAATTAGTTCAACAAGAGAACTACTCATCTGAAATTGTCTCTCTGTCACGAAAGCCAGATGGGAGAGTACAAGCCTCAAGCAAGATAGTGAGATTAAGACCTTTTCTACAAGATGGCTTGCTTAGAGTAGGTGGGCGCCTAAGACACTCTGGGCGTCACTTCAATGCCACTCATCCAATTATCCTACCCAATAAGTCATCTTTGGTGAAGCTGATGGTGAGGTGGCATCACGAGAAGTTAGCTCACTGTGGTCAGAACTATCTTCTCTCTGAGTTAAGACAAAAATTTTGGGTTGTACATGCAAATGCTGTTGCACGTTCTGTGGTAAGGAGTTGCATGAAATGCAGGGCCATCTGTGCACGACCAATGACTCAAGAAATGGCTGACCTTCCTGAAGATCGTATTATACCAGGCCAGCCACCATTTACACACACAGGCACCGACTGTTTTGGACCCTTTCTCGTCAGGAAAGGCAGGTCAAACCTTAAGAGATATGGCATAGTCTTTACATGCCTAACATCACGTGCAGTCCATATTGAGGTCATGGACTCAATGGAAACGGACTCATTTATCAACGCTCTTCGACGATTTACAGCAAGACGAGGTCCAGTGAAGTCCATCAGATCCGACAATGGCACAAACCTGGTGGGTGCAGAGAAAGTTCTTCGTCAGGAGCTCCAGCTTCTTGATCAAACTGCCATCTGTGACACCATGTCAACTAGAGGCATCTCATGGTGCTTCAATCCACCACATGCTTCACATTTCGGTGGAGTCTGGGAACGTCAGATTCGCTCTATCAGGCGTGTTTTGAGTGGTATTTGCTATCAACAGACACTAACTGATGATAGTCTTCACACTCTGTTCTGCGAAGTTGAAGCCATCATTAACGGCAGACCCTTGACCAGAGTTACGGACGACCCTGATTGCCTGCAACCACTGACTCCGAGCATGCTGCTGAACTTGAAGGGTTCACCTGGTCCAGTCATGAATACCGATAACAAGAATCTGTATGCTCGTCGGCGCTGGAAGCAGGTGCAGTACTTGGCTGACCTCTTTTGGAAGAGGTGGTCTAAAGAGTATCTACTCTCCTCCAAGAGCGCCAAAAGTGGAACATTAAACGGCGTGATGTCAAGAAAGGAGACATAGTTTTAGCCTTGGATGAGAGGCTGCCCAGAGGTACATGGCCTCTTGCTCGAGTGATAGAGGTAATGTGTGATAGTGATGGACATGTGCGCAGTGCTAAACTGAAAACTGTCAGTGGAGAATATATCCGGCCTATTAGCAAGATGTGCCTTCTCTTAGAAAGTGAGATCAATACTGAAAACTAGGGTGAACGCCGAACGCTGCCCTTATCGGAAATGTTGGATTAAAAAGATTTTGCAGTATTTTTTTGTAGTATCAAGTAGGTCACTTAATAGGGGGCGGTGTAGAATACTGCGAAATTTTAACTATTTGATTTCTTAAAACGAAAGAAAATCTGATTTAGTTGGTAAGTATCCAAGGAAAGTCGTTCAAACCGCGCGCCACTACCCATACTCCTTTGCGTGCGATATCGCTGCGTCAACTCTTGCAGTTTCCCGCCAAAAGATAAACCAAGGGAACTGCTGTCTGTACTGGGTGGGCCAAATGCCTTTTTCCATCCTTTTATTTTGAGTGACAACGACCGTGGAGTGGATTTTATGAAGAAGTTGGTTTGCAGTCTATTGGGATACAAAGTGAGTGTTAACAGTGTGTATATTTAAGGTTATTATACTTTGTTGTTCAGCGCCGCGGCCCCCCCAACGGTAGTGTTTTGTGACATGTTCAATGGCAGTTGTTCCACAGCCAACCCCTTTTATTTTCTGATGTTTTGCTTTAAATGGGAATGCCTTGTGAAGATTTTATTTCTTTCAATAATAGGATAATGTTTGTCAAATTCTGATTTTCATATTTCGCAATGTGCTGATGCTCTTCTTATATAGATTTTGCATCTCCTGTATTTTGTTTTGTTTTATATTCAAATTCATGTTCATTCTATTGTGCGTTATTGGTTTCTTATACGGGCTTGTTGTTTTCAGTTCGAATGCTTCTTGTGACTAGGCTGTAACGAAAATAAATGTGGAACTACACAGAAGTTATTCTGATACCCTTGAATTAAGACTGTACAACATACTGCATCAAACAATATCATCATTATCCATTATTATTACTATTGTTATTAATTATTATTATTATTATTATTATTATTATAATTATTATTTTATTATTATATTATTATTATATTATTATTATTATTATTATTATTATTATTATTATTATTTATTATTATATTATTATTATTATTATTATTATTATTATTATTATTATTATCATTATCATTAATATTGTTATCATTGCTATAATTTTATCATTATTATCATATCATTACTATAATTTTCATTATAATCATTGTTATTATCATCATTATCATTATTATTATCATTACTACTACTACTACTAATACGACTATTATTACTACTACTACTATTTTTATCATCATTACTTTTATCATTTTCATTATCTTTATTATTATTACTACTACTACTATTGCTATTACAATTACTACTACTACTATTATTATATTTATTGTTTTTATTATCATTATCACTATCATTATTGTCTTTATCATCATTACCATTACTATCATTATCATTATCATTGCAATTATTGTTATCATTATATTATTACTGTTACTATCATTACTATCACCATAATTATCATATCATCATTATTTTCATTCTTATTGTTAATAGTAGAAGTAGTTGTTGTGTCATTATCATTACTATTATTGTTGTTGTTATTATCATTTGTTATTTATCAGTACTTTTATTAATGTTATTCTTATTATCATTACTATTATTATCATCATTCTGATTATTATTATTATTATTATTATTAATATTACTATTATTATTGTTATTATTACTATTATTATTATTATTATCATTATTGCTATTATTTCTAGTTCTTATTTTTATTATCGTCATAGTTTTTAGTTATCATTATTATAATCATTACAATTATGATATTATCCTTATAAATTTTATCATTATTATTATAACCATTATTATCATTACTATCATTATCATTATTATCATTATTATTATTTTTACTGTTATTATCATTACAATTATTATTATCACTATTATCATTATTGTTGGTAGTAGTAGTATATTCTCATAATCAGTATCAGTATAACTGTTTTTATCATCAGTATCAGCATAATTAATAATATCGTAAATAGTAACAATAGTGTCAATAATGATTATAATGACAGTGACAAAATAGTAGATATTACCGAATGTAATTGATTCCTGAAATCATATAAAAATCAATTTTGTTGAGATCTGGATGACTGTTATTATGTCGCCCCGTGAAAATTAAATTAATAAAAAAGCTATTACATTGAATATTTATGTAGCCAAGGGACACACATTATGCATTTAGCCTAAAATAATCATGTGATGAAGGATTTAATGCCACGGCTTCATATTTCGGATCTTTTTGACATAAGAAAATATATATTTCATTGACATGAACCTGCGGGACTAACACTAGAGAGAGAGAAAGAGAGAGAGAGAGAGAAGAGAGAGAGAGAGAGAGAGAGAGAGAGAGAGAGAGAGAGAGAGAGAGAGAAGAGAGAGAGAGAGAGAGAGAGAGAGAGAGAGAAGAGAGAGAGAGAGAAGAGAAGAGAGAGGAGAGAGAGAGAGAGAGAGAGAGATTGTGTGTGCCTGCGGTGTGTGTTTTGCATGTATATGTGTGTGTGTGTATGTACATATCTATCTATCTATAAGATTAAAATGCACACCAATTTAGATATTAACTCAACGTATTAAAGAAGAAAAAAATCCATTAATTTTGTCATATGAAGATCTTTTCACAACAGCTTCGAAATAATTTGGTACATGAAATAAATAAACAGGTATTTTCACTTTTAGTTCATGCATTAAATTAATATACGACTCATTTTGTAAAATAATATATAAATGATAATATGGTGAATTAATGAAATATGTCAACATTGTATCATGAAACGATGTAAATTAATCCAGATTAATTATATGTAATTGATTGCCGGGATATAAATCAGTTCATCATATTCTGATATGTAATACGTTAACCTTTGGCTCTATTATCATTATCATATTTTACATTATTTAATTTTCCTGAATATTGAATTTTTTAAAATTAATCGGTTATCCTATTTGAAATTTTATTTTGTACTCTACTCTAAACATATATCATCCTTTCAAATTTGTATTTACTATATAGACTCACTTTGTATTAGTATAATTAAAGCCAATTTAATGATGATATTATTTATTTGTTCAAATCAATATGTTTATATTCATTGTATTAATTATGAGTATTAACAAAATATCATATACTTAAGATATTTTTTCTTAATATTTATTAATTAAATTATCATTGTATTAATCAATTACATTATTATGATTTTGTAATTATTATTATTTGCTTCCATGATGTTATTAATGTTATTCTTATTATTATTATTATTTATTCTTTTATTATTACGGGATTATTAATATCATCATCTATTTTAAATTATATTATCTAATATTATATTTGTGTATTATACGTTAATCAATTTTTTAAAATTATTTTATTTTTTATGCTTATATTTAATTTATCATTATATTATATTACTATTATTATTATCAATAATTATTATTGTATTTTGAATAGTTATTCGTTCATCATTTATTAATACATTAATTTATATATTATTATCATATATTTTCATATATTATTATTATTTTTATCATTATTACTCTACTATCTGACTACTAATATTATTATTATTTTGTTATTTACATCGAATTATGATTTTCGATTATCATTATATATTGATATTATTATTATTATTATTGATAATCAATAACATTTCCTCATATATTATTATATTACATAAATCATTATTACATAATTATTATTAATTATAATAATGATATTAAATTTATTATATTATTATTAATATTTTATTATTATTCATCATCAATTATTATTAATTAATGAAATTTATTATTATATATTATATATATTATTATTATATTATATTATTATTATCATTATTATTATTATTATTATTATTATTATTATTATTATTATTATTATTATTATTATTATTATTATATTATTATTATTATTATTATTATTATTATTATTATTATTATTATTATTATTATTATTATTATTATTATTATTATTATTATTATCATTATATTATTATTATTATTATCGTATTATTATTATTATTATGATTATGATTATCATTATTATTTATTATTATTATTATTATTTATATTATTATATATTTATTATTATTATTTTATTATGATTTATTATTATTATTATTATTATTATAATTATATATTATATATATTATTATTATATTATCATATTATTATTATTGTTATTATCATTATTATTATTATTATTTATTATTATTTATTATTTATTATTATCATTATTATTATTATTATTATTATTATTATTATTATTATTATTATTATTATTATTATTATCACACACACATACACACAAGCACACACACACACACATAAACGCACACACACACACACACACACACAGACGCATACCCACACACAACGCACACACAAAGACGCACACCCGGAATGAATGTATTGGCACCTTACCAGTGCCACAGGCGGAGCCGCGGCGACGTCAGGGCATCATGGCGACTAAAGGTATCGCAATATTACTCGCAGCGCTTAGCGTCTGCCTCACCTGCCTGTGGAAATTGGAGTAGGAGGTCTTCCTCGCCAAGCAGAAGGAGCTCGGCCTCCAGAGTCTGGAGATTGAGAAGACTATATCAAGGATTCCTCGATGGTTCGCCACCGACGAGTAGATATCGCCGCCCTTCAGTGCATAGTCCCGCAGCACCCTTGGTACCTCCCCCGACTTCTCCGTCTCCAGCGGCAGCTGGCATGCAACGAGGAGTCGTTGGAGATTTACCAGGCTCTCTCTGACGAAGCGGAAGATACGGCCGCCCACGTCAGCCGCGTCGTCGGCACAATCTGCAGCATCCTCGTCGGAACCTTTGTGGGCCTCCTCGGACTCTTCGGCATCAGCGCCCTGGCCCGCCTCACGAATCAGGAGGTCGAGGAGGTCGACGAGGAAGACGATGTCATCCCCTTCCCGGTGCACTAGGCCGACGAGGAGGAGGAGGACGACGTCGTCATCCCCTTCGCGCTGCACGAGGCCGACGCGGAGGAGGAGGACGACATCGTCATCCCCTTCGCGCTGCACGAGGCCGACGGAGGAGGAG